TGTCTTCCTCGATCGCAGCCTGGAGGCGGTTGACTTGCCTTTTTAGGTATGGATCTTGTGTTCGCATGGCTCTGTGTCGTATCCGGTTTTTCTCCTTTTATTTGGATGGCCAATATGGATTCCTCCAGTGTCGACGGCTTGACGATCTCGTGATGCTTAATGGACCTTTTCACTGCGACTAGCGTGCCGCCGCCCCTGGTGAGCCTATCATCTCTGTGTATCTTGTGGTTCCGGAGTGTGAGCCTTTCTCCAGGCTTCAGTAGTGTTTCCTGGATTAGGCACACATGACTGCTCATCAATGGGATCATCTGTGATTGCATCGTAGCCATGAACGTTTGCATTTCTGCTTGCATGGCCTGGATGGTTTGGGCCAGCTGTTCATGGCCGGTTTTGCTCCGTAGTTGACGTTGGGGGGCTTGTTGGGGCGTTTGTTATAGTTTGCCAGAAATCGATCGCCACGGTTCCTGGTGGGACACCCTGTATAAATTCCAAAACATTAAGAAACCGCTAAACCTGATGGCAACTAGATTCGACTTATTTTGACATATTTTATCAGTGTTTGTACTCGTGTCGTGTCTATGTAATATTGGGTTTGTTTTGAATTTTGTCTCGCCCAAACATTATATGAAATAGACGATATGAATATTTCTATTTCACATTTTGACTGAAACTCAAGAAGGAAAACAATAAGAATAATTTCACACAGTCAGGAAAATAACTCAAAATTAGCGGGTATGATGGCCGAAGGATCGGACCTACGAACTACCAACTTGAAGGTCCGAGGTTCGAATCCCAAGCCGTGCACATGGAGATCAAAAAATATCATCAAGCTGAAAAAACATTTGCACTATTTAAAAAATCGACCTGGCTGAATACCCAAGGGGTGGTAGCAATTAAAAAAAATCTGATAAACTTGTTAAAGTCAAATAAATATTTAGAAAATATGTATTTTTTAAATATGTGATAAAAATGTCAAATAAATATTTCTTAAATATATAAAAATCTGTCGCGTCCGACTTACATTAAATATAAAAAAATATATTACTGTAAAATTTGTATGCTATCGGGGAATTTCGTGGTACCCTTTTGGTATCCTAGTTAAGAGGACACCTTGTATACAGGGTGATTAATAGTCGATCGCGTATTTGCCGTTTACATCAGACACCCTGTATGTTATTGAACCTTTAGATTGACTTTATAGATCTGATAATTTTTTATTAACGATTTCTGTATCTATTTAAAGCAGTTTTCGAAATATTAAACAAAGTTATTTTTAAACAGAACAGCTTTAAGAAATCGTGTATTTTACGATGCGACTTCGATACCTGGAAATTTAAAATTTTGGTTCTCGCCTGCAGCAATTTGTTTCAAATTATGCCGGATATCTTGAAAATACTGATCTTTCGGCTAGAGGTAAAAACTGCTCTAATTACATTTTTTTTAATTTCCCATTATTAGTTCAAATAAGGGAAGACGATTAAATTATTATATGATATATGTATATTGATTATACCAAAGAAGGTATAAGTGCTAACGATTTGCCGTTACATTATTCTTTATTGGGTTTTTTTCTTTCCTGGGTTTCAGTCAAAAAAGTTCAGGTAAGAAAAAATATAATAACAATTACACGCAGCCAGGAAAATAAATCAAAATTATTCTTTATACCTAAAGCATTATGGTACGAAACATAAAGGTATTACATATACCGAGGTAGGCATATATATTTTACGCATGTCAACGCCAAATCAACAATTTGGCACGCAGTTTTAATAAGACTCAATATAATAAGCAATAAGTAAATGTGAAATGAGCGCCTGTTTGTGTGACGTCATAAATTCTTATTTACCTGTTTGACGCTGGCGTTGTTAGATTCTAGTCTCTTAGTCCAGGGTTATGTTTATGTGGAAAGGCGAAGAAGAAAAATACTGCCATAATGATTAAAGACAAAATTTTAGGTTATTATAATATAAACAACTTTGCCAATTGCCTTAAAAATAATTAAATATACCAAGAGGATAACTACTCTTCGTTGCAGTTACATCAGGTTTATAAAGGTCAACGAGTATTAAACTATACAAGAGAATGTTACGAAAACCACCGATCTCGATATCACTTCTTTCATTAAGGCGAAAAATCCATGTTTCCTCTCGGGTTCTATGGAATATTCCAAAATCCATGGAATTAGATGATGAATACTTATTTAATACCGATAATATAAAAGACATTGAAGACAACATTTCACGACGAAAAAGTATAGGCAATATCAGGCTAGTCAACGAAATGCATGAGAAGTTGAAAAGTTTGAAAACTAATGACTCCAAATACCAATCTGTAAAAGCTCAACTCGCTGAAGAATGTAGAAGAATACCAAACAGAACACACCCTGACATAATTTCGTATATCGATACTCCAAAAGTCATCAAATACATAGGATCAAAAAGAGTTTTTGATTTTCCCCATAAAGAATTTTATGAAATATCAAAACGATTAAAGTTGGTCAGGACAGAACAATTGGGTAGTTTGGCTGGAAGTAGGACCTATTACCTATTAGGGCAAATGGCTGAACTTGAGCACGCTCTAGTGAGGTATTTTGTAAAGAATCTTCTGCAATCTGAGTTTCAATTAGTGTCTGTTTCTGATATAGTTCCTAGAGATCTTGTAGAGAGTTGTGGAATGAATACAAAAGGAGAAAGAACACAAGTAAGAACTGTATTTATTATATTATTTTTAGGTACGGTGTGCTGTAATTCCTTACTTGCTGATATTTTGATTCACTCACGTTCATTATAGGTATTGGTCCAGTTAAGTCTTTTATAATACAGGTATTTTAAGAGTTCTTCCTACAATACAGAGTGTCCCACGAATATGGATTGTTAAAAATTTCAGGTCTTCCTAAACCGGGTTTGATCTATACGTCTAAAATATGTTTAAAGAAGCGACACTCGCTTATACCCGAAATAGACGATAAGGACCTACTTAGCTTATTTTAAATGGAATGTCCTGTTTTTTAATATAAATTTATGTACTCGTAAATATAACACTTTGTATGTWTGAAGATGTGTATCTAACGGTTTTACAGTAAAGATAGATGCAATACTGAACTTTGAATCCTGCTGAAATAAGAAAATATTCTGCAATCTTGAAAAAAAATGTATTTTATTGCGTCAAACACCTACGTGTCGTGGTCCTACTTTTATACAGATTGTTCAAAAAAAGTAAAATTTACTATACCGGTTGTCAATTTGAAAACTTCCCACCCTTAATATCTTTCTGGCAGCTAAAAATGTGAAAAATCGGAAAGACCAGTCACTTTTATTTGTAATAGTACTTTAAATTAATATTTTTAGCCTTCTTGTTTCAACCCCTTAGGAGGGGTAGATGTCACCCCGAGAATCTTAAATGAGAAGGGGGGTCAAGTGTCTCATCGTTTTAAAGAGCGTTCAATTCTCTTTTTTACATTAGTTACTACTAAAACCACACAACATCATAATTGTGGAAAAAACAAAAAACAACTTATCAACTGAATGTTTCCTAAAACTAAAACAAAAAAGACAGAATGGATGTACCAAATACTCTATATATAGTGAATTGTTTAAAATGTGATAATACATACATAGGACAGACTAAACAATATTTAAAAATGAGAATGTAGGAACATAAATACAGTTTGAGAAATACTAGTGAAAATAAAACAGTATTAACACAACATGCACACCAAATGTTACATAATTTCGATTTTAACAACGCAGATATATTAGTTAGGGAAACAAATTATCATAAAAGAAGAATCCAAGAAATGATACAAATACAAAAACATGCAACAGCAGTAAATTTCAGATCAGATACCGACAACCTTAGCAACATTTACCAAACCCTAATATACCCATGAATATAGAACACTCAGTACACTAGTGAAAAAATTGAAACTATTTCCGCTTATCTCAATACATACATACCATTCTCGCAAATATAGAAAATAATTCAGACTAATTTAAGTTTTCAAGAAGGCAAATACCTAAAAGAACGTTGATTTTTACCAATCATGAGGTAAGTTTTTCAAATGTTTTGCTCTCACAAAAGGAAGGATTTTTTCC